TGACAACAACGATGGAATATGCGACCACCACGGAAATGATGACGACACCAGATGACAATATGACTACCACAGAAATGATGACGACACCAGATGACAATATGACAACCACAGAAATGATGACGACACCGGATGCCAAAATGACCACCACAGAAATGATGACGACACCGGATGCTGACATGACTACCACAGAAATGATGACGACACCAACAGCTACTATGACCACCACCAAAATGATGACGGACACCAGAGGCCAACATGACTACTACAGAAATGACGACGACACCAGAAGATATCATGACTACTACAGAAATGATGACGACAGCAGAAGATATCATGACTACTACAGAAATGATGACGACACCAGAAGATAACATGACTACTACAGAAATGATGACGACACCAGAAGATATCATGACTACTACAGAAATGATGACGACACCAGAAGATATCATGACTACTACAGAAATGATGACGACACCAGAAGCGAAAATGACCACCACACAAACGATGACGACACCAGAAGCCAACATGACGACAACGGAAGTGATGACGACAACAGCGGTTGCCATGACGACCCCAGAAAGGACGGCACCACCTGTCGCCAATACAATGACTACAGAACCAATGCTGACAAACATGACCACCATGAAAATGACGACTACACCAAAAGTGAACACGACAACCACAGAAATGATGACGACATCCACGCAGGACGTGACGACCCCGCTGACCACCACCACCGAAGTCACCACCTCTATGATGACGTCAACCATAGACTTGACCACTCCAGAGATGACGTCAGCCAGTAACAACCAAACGACAGTACAACCCACTACAACTCCTATGGTTACAACTACTGCAGCAGCAGAAACTACAGCATCAACATCCACTGCACAAACAACTGAACAGGCCACTCAAGCGGTTACCACAAATACCACTACAGATCCTCAAACAACGATGGCACAGACGACATCACGATTAACTACAGAGGCATCGACGACGAAGATGTTGACCACAATAATGCCTACGACGAAGGCAATGACTACAAAAGAACCTCCTAAACCGAAAGTCTTCAACGGAGAGTTCCGCATCACTAGAGGTAAGGCCACACCGCCTTAATTTTATGGATGACATCCTCTGAAGTCCCCCAAACTAGTGCGCGCAAGCGAATAAAAAAAAGTCCGGCCAAAAATAAAAATGCTACTGAATTTGCGGCAGTACATAGCGCCGTATACGACAAGCCGGCATATTCTGACTTTTTGTTTGCGGAATTTATTAATCGGCACTGTACGTATGTACTGAGTTCTTGAGTCGTGGAGCTTCGGTAGCCTGGGTGCCATCCTCCTGGGTTACCACCGGCTCCGTATTGTCGCTAACTACCATGGACTACCCAGGCCTAGAGCCAGGCTAGACGATATTTTTTTGGAGAACAGGTGAAAATTAATGCGCGCGTGGATGTCATCCATAAAATCAAGTCGGTGTCGCCTAATATATAATATCTCATAGCTAGTTGTTCAATGTATAAATTTCTTCACCATTGCAAAACTGGTCCTGAGCAGATCTTATTTACTAGCAGATACGTCTTCACTAATTTAGGCCATGTTGATTTGATTATATGGATGACATCCTCTGGGAACCCCAAAACTGATGCGCGCGTGCGAATAAAAAAAAAGTTTTGCAAAAAAAAAGTTGCTTTCACTATGAAATCTACGTGGTCATGAAGGTTGAACAAATGGCACAGAATATGTTATGGTGAATAATCTACTCTTCGAATTCATTTCTTTACATTTTTGTCCTTTTTCCTTTGATTTTGGCATTCTACGACATTGGTATCGTTTCTAAATGTTTTCCTTGCAACTTATGGTATATTTTTGCTCATTTTGCAACTGTTTTGGACGATTTACAGTATGGTTGAAAACTTTTTTTTTCTTTTGGAAACGGCCGAAAATTCATGCGCGCGCGGATGTCATCCATATAATCAAATCAACATGGCCTTACTGTTAAAAGAAAGAACGTTAACTTTAAATGCTCTAGCTATAGATACTTAACTATAATGAGCTATATGGAAGCCGGTCCTACTTTTTCACATATCTTTTGTTCATAGGGGTCAACTTCACAGAAGATCTCAGAAACAAGACCTCTACTGCCTTCAAGAGTCTGGAAAACGATATCAAACCACTGGTAAGTATACATATCCCACCATTGTTGTCAGGTTTACAAACCTTTGGTATGTTTGAAGTTAAAATTTTTGTTCCAACACAAGGAATTGTTCTCACCAAGAGCTATAAATAGAGTCTACTGAAGAAGACCAAAGTGACGGGTCGAAAGCTCTAGGTGAGATCAACCTTGCGTTGGACCTCAGGTTTTAGCTTTAAACACGTAACTACCAACACAGATGAACATTTAGTCTTTGTTACACAAACAAAAGAACCTTCCAGCGGTTCATTAGCCCTTCTGCTACCTTTCATCAGTCTAACATTATAGTTGAAGTAGAACCTGATTATTTTACAAGAAATACCGTACCTTTAACAAAAAACTGTGTTATTATACACTGATCAATGTACCTGATTTAAACTATTCATGTATATTTGTAGTAAAATATTGAATCTGTTTCTTTAACTGACAGCTGGAGGATGTTTACAGGACTAAGTACCGTGACCAGTTTGAAGAGGTGGTTATCAATGAATTCAGGTGAGAACATTGAAATAATATTGAATTCTTTTACCTAACTTCTAGATTTTTGTGTACATGACTAACCCTGCCAATTGTGGGCAACCTATATATTATTTCTAAAATACATTCCTTACTCCTTCAAGTTGTGAATGAATACTTGTCCTCAGTTTAGCTATGGTAAAATGCCTTTTTACTTACCAGTCCAACCAGTCAGTTTATCATCATAGATTTTGTTATCATTATCCAATGCAGCTTTTCAACGTATCGACTAATATTTTATAAATATTTTGTGCCTTATGTTTTTTTTTATTGTTTTATTATGTTGGAATAAAGTTGAATTCGTAAGTGTAATAAAACAATTTGTTATGAAAAACTTAAACTGTTCTCCAACTCAAAATTTGACTCATCAGAAATTTTCGACTGAATCACTCAGTCTTCCTCAGCTATCTGACCCAAATGCTGTGGACACGTGATTTTTCCCACGTGTGACGTCAGCAAAGGGTCAAAGGTTGTCTGAAGTCGATATCGCCCCCCGTCCTGGTTGAGCGATGGTTGAAGTGCCCTGATGTATATGGCCTCTTTTATGCCTCTCTTCAAGTAGCTGAGGTCAGATAGCTAAGGAAGACTGAGTGATTCAGTCGAAAATTTCTGGTGAGTCAAATTTTGACTTGGAGAACAGTTTAAGTTTTTCATAATGTAATTTACCAACTCAGATGAACTTTCATGCGAAAACAATTTGTTGTTATGACGTTGAATCCGTCCATCTGACGTCTTAACTACAGGAACGGCAGCGTGGTGGTTGACTATAATGTTGTCCTAACGCCCGACGCCACTGATGTCACAGCAGAAGACGTGAAGAACACTTTCAAACAGGCACTTAACAACACAACAGGGGACTCACTGCTTGGCGACTTCGTCATAGACCCTACATCTGTAACCATCACTGGTAAGCACAAATTTTACAAATACCAAAACATCAGGTTTTCCATCTAAGTCAACCATTCGAATTCCACAATCATCTTCTTTTGGCTAAAAGACAGACTGTACAAGACCTGCAAGACTATGTGATTTGAAAGCTCAAATGCATTTTAACTGCAATCTAGATGCATTCATGGCACAGGGATGTACATGTATATATTGCCTGCCTCGTCTGTTATAATTTGTGTACGCAAACTTTCAGCAATTATGGGAGTTCTACTGTAATGTTTGCTTTTTCGTGTCACCAATAGATAATAACAGTAACAGTAAAAACTAGCTTGGGTGCACTGTGAACCAAGTAACAGTGCACTGTGAAGTAGGTAACACCTTTAGTGCACTATATGCACCAAGTAACATCTAGCGTCAGTGCACAGTAAGCCAGTCAGAATTGCCCTGATGAAGATGACAGACGGTCATCGAAACGTCGGCTCGTGAAAAATAAATGGTTGTGATCAAAGAACTTTGCTATTCATTCGTTTACCAACCTGATGAAATTATTTACGGAATAGATAATAAAGTTTGTAATTTTTTTTAAACTTTGCCTATCCACAGAGGTTGTGGCACCCACACCAGTTCCTCAACAGTTCGAGCTCCCTCAGTGGGCAATTATAGTCATCATCGTTGGCGTGGTGGTGCTTTTCTTACTCATCGTCATCATCTTTGCGGTAAGTAGGAAACCGAAAAATAAAATGTTGTTCCAAAATATTGCATAAATCTAAAACGGTTAACATCTTTAACATCTCAAACGGTTAACATTGAGGTGTTCAAAAACTTGTATTTCCCCTGAACTATCGTAGCATAGAGTGGAACTCGTTGCCACCAAAAGCACAGTAGGGGCATCATCACTATTTATTTATGACGATTTACCACATTTGTGGAAGGATTGACATAACAGGTGACTATCACCTTTTCAAAGATGTCAAACCTGAGACCAGACTGTAATGTTTGAACCACTCACACCGGGAAGGTCCCCTACTCTTTTCGATAAGTGTGGTGGGTTCTTTAACGTGCGTGGGGTGTGGCTCTCCCAAACACGGGACCTCCATGATCCATGCATTTAACGTCCTATCCGAGGGACGTCCCTAGCCGAAGCTATAGGTACTCATTTTCACATGAGTGAAGTGAGGAAAGTCGTGTAAAGTACCTTTCCCAAGGGTACAACGTCGGGGCGCATGTTCGGACTTGTTCCGGTACGACCCGGAATCGAACCCGGGTCTCCCCGTTTTATAGTCCAGTGATGTACCACTACACCACACGACGCCACTAGAAAGCTTTAAACAACTGAAATTAAACGTACAAAGATTGAGTGTAACAAGACGTTCGGTGTGATATAGCTAGCTGCTGCCACGCCGCGTGTCTGCGAAGCTGGTGTGTTACGCCGAAGGGGGGTTATACCGGCTATACAGATGCAGATGCAGATACATTGTTACTACATGTATGCTGCATAAATATGATGTAAACCAGGGCAAAACGCAGCATGTTATTATATAATAAGTAACTACTGTCAGCCCAATTCAATCATAATACCCTGTCAAAATAATATTTTCAATTATGGAAAGCGGGCATGGCTACTACGCCAAATTGGATGCGGATGAATAATTGGTGTGTGTCCGAAGCTGGTGTGTTTTGCCAAGGGGCAGTTATACTGGATATACAGAATTTATAGCAGCTTTGTCATATCTCTGAATACAGTAAACAGTTGACATTCTTCCCACCTTGTTACAGTTGTGCGTAAGAAGATCGCGGAAAAACAGCATGAAAGGTAACCTGTACGCTATTAGCGAGGACGGCAGGAAAGAGTCTCTACTGTGGATGCACAAGAAAGACGCTAACGGTTTCCACGGTGGTGTTGTCGGAGACGGAAGGATAGATGGAAAGACCACCGCTCAAGAGATGAGGGAGATGAGAAGCCATCCTTCTGAGCTCCCATTGGTTAGTAGTAAACCACATAACTTTGATTCAGGACTGCAATTGGTTAGTAATAAAACACATGACGTTATTTTCTTAGATGCCATTGGTCAGTAGTTTGTTGATTTATTTCCTGATTGGTCAGTAGTTAATCATGTGACTTTGCTCAACCTTATTTTCTTAGACTTAGCTACAATTGGCCAGTTGTAAAAGACGTGACTTTGCCTCACATTGGTTTATAGACTGTCATTGGTCAGTAGTCTAACTAAAGACTTTGCTTCACGTTATCTGAGCTGCCATTGGTCAGCAGTTTCCCTTCACATTATTTTCTGAACTGTCATTGGTCACTAAATAATCATGTGACTTTGCTCAACTTATTTTCTCAGACTTAGCTTCAATTGGTCCGTTGTCTAACATGTGACTTTTGTTTCACGTTTCCTGGGCTGCCATTGGTCAGTAGTCTAACAAAAGACTTTGCTTCACGTTTTCTGAACTGCCTTTGACCAGTAGTAACACACATTACTTTCTGACGATATTTTCTGAGCTGCCATTGGTCAGCAGTTTTCCTTCACATTATTTTCTAAACTGTCATTGGTCACTAAATAATCATGTGACTTTGCTCAACTTTATTTTCTCAGACTTAGCTACAATTGGTCCGTTGTCTAACATGTGACTTTTGTTTCACGTTTCCTGGGCTGCCATTGGTCAGTAGTCTAACAAAAGACTTTGCTTCACGTTTTCTGAACTGCCTTTGACCAGTAGTAACACACATCACTTCCTGACGATATTTTCTGAGCTGCCATTGGTCAGCAGTTTTCCTTCACAGTATTTTCTGAACTGTCATTGGTCACTAGTAAATCATGTGACTTTGCTCAACTTCTTTTCTCAGACTTAGCTACAATTGGTCCGTAGTCTAACATGTGACTTTTTTCACGTTTCCTGGGCTACCATTGGTCAGTAGCAAAGCACGTGACTTTGTTTTCCTTTGCTTTGCTAAGAAGACCGTGTTGTTGGTTGTGTAACGATGATTGCTTTATAGTTATAACTCTTAAATTATAATTGTAATAGAACTCTTCTTTTGATTTCTCCACACAGAACGGTAGCGCTCCAATCAACGGTTACGGCGAGCACAATTTCGGCTACCTTTTGAACGCAGAGGACAACGACACATATCTCTGAGACAACAGTTCCCACCGAGATTCTAACGAAAGTCGAACTTTTGTAGCCTGAAATCCATAATTTTCAAGGTCCAGTTTGCTACTATCTTCCCCTGTTAAAATAAATGACACTATTTAGTAGTAGATTGGTAGGACAAAAAAAACAAAAAAAAAACCCGGACATTTTAGACTTCCGGAAAGTATTTGATCATCGACGTCCTGAATTCCCCCATGTGGACCTCTGATACCTGCTGGCTCCCAGCCATATTCTGAGACCTTTGGCCTCCTGCCTGTCAATCTACCCCTACCCACGTGCTGTCAACCTACTACAATTAATGGACAAACGGACACACAAACCCACAGCTTAGTCACCCAAAACTATACTTCCATATACTTTCGGAATAACAGGGAAACGTAGAGAGTAGCAAACCGGATCCTGAATAACATGGGATTCCAGGCTAAAACCTTTAAGTGCACTACAGTACTTGTGACATGCTGCTGAAGACTTATTTGACACCCCCCACGAGAGATTGGTTTAACCTACTTTTTCAGTATCGGAATTTGTCAGAAGGTTCTATTTTGAGTTTTATAGGGGTGTTTTTGTCACAATGTGATTTTTTTAATTTAACCCTGGGAGGTACAGTAGTCACCTCCAAATGTACAGTGTATTATGTTATATGGAGGTTATCCTTAGTATATGTTGTTATAAGTATGATATTATGATAAAGATAAATATATACTAGTCAAAGTTTTTTCCCAAGTATCTAAAATCAAGGATATAGAATTTAGCAATATTTATATACAGATATTACAAACCATGTTATTTTGGATATTTCTCTAAGACTTGCTAACTACAAAAGATCATCAAACTAACGTTGTTACAAAAAAAACTTTTGAGCTGGACTCATTCATGTATGAACACAAGAATTTTCATTATTTTAGCACTCCTAACACACTTCACGCATATGCAGTACATTCTGCTGATGTGGTATCCTAAAGTAGAATGGATTCCAGAATACTAATAAGGCCATGTTGATTTGATTATATGGATAACATCCGCGCGCGCATGAATTTTCGGCCACCCCCCCCTAAACAGTTTTCAACCATACTGTAAATCGTACAAAACAATTGCAAAATAAGAAAATATATACCGTAGGTTGCAAAAAAAATATTGGAAAATGATACCAATGTCGTAGAAATGCCAAAATCAAACGAAAAAGACGAAAAATGTAAAGAAATGAATTTGAAGAGTAGATTATTCGTCATACCATACTCTGTGTCATTTGTTCAACCTTCACGACCACGTAGATTTCATGTTGAAAGAAACTTATTTTCTGGTCAAACTTTTTTTTTCATTTGCACGCTCGCATCAGTTTTGGGATGCCAAGAGGATGTCATCCATATAATCAAATCAACATGGCCTAATTAAGAGGAAGAATGTTCATTTAGTTTATGTATCTCTGAAGTGTCTATGAAGTTTGTATACATACATACAAGCACTTTGATAAGAAAAATAAAATCTAAGAACGCTGAAACAATAATGTAGATTCAGACCATACATATATGAGAACTATATTTTCTTATTATATTCTATTCCTATTATATAACCCAGCTCGCTGTAGCTTGATAAGGCCACACCAATTTAATTTGTTGGTTCTCGGATTCGCCTCTTCGTTTTTTTCTGATTTGCAAAAAAAAAAAAAATTGATTCTGGTCCTGAATCAACTGAAAAATGATCATGTTTTGCCCCCAACAGTTGAGGGAAGTCCTTTTCTTCCTAGTTGTTACAGTTTTCCCATCTATCATTGCAGTGGTTTGATTAAAAGTTAAAAATTCAATGTTTAAATTTTAACCCAGCCTTTTGTGTTGACTTCATGGCTCATTTCGTAGCATTTAAGCCTATAATAGGATGCCTAGACCTGTTTTTATTTTTATTTTTTTTCGCCCTGTCGCTTCATGTTTTTTTCTGAAAAAAATCCGAGAACCAACAAATTAAATTAATTACTTAAAGTATAGGATGTGAAATAGGCAACAATTTTGCCAAGGAACCATTCAATTTTAATTCTACCTTTTAACATTTCTACAACTGCGAAACATTGAAACCAGTGCAAATTCTGCGCTTAAAGGCATTGGCAGTAGAGTAAGGGTTAAAAATGTTGAGCCTCAGTTATATTTCAGTGGTATTTCATATTTATACATATCAAAACAACAACTACTACTAATATATTGTATAGTAACTACATGTATAAAATGATATTTAACAATTTTTATCATTATTCTGTGAAAAACAACTTTCCGGAAGGCAAAATAAAAGAAAACAATATTTTAAAACTTCAATCTACATAGTATTACTAAAAGTAAGATATAAGTTGTAAGATTGTTATGTGTATTGTTTATTATGATGTATAATAGTGTATTTTGTACCTTTATGTATTAAACAGAATACGGAAGTCAGACTTGACAAGAATGTGTTTTATTTACATATTTATATATGAACAAGTTATACAAATATAAGCTGATATCCTAAGTCAAAATAAACGACAAAGAAAATTTTAGAATCTGGTGAGACTAAAAACAGTGAGATGTAAGATAAGGCCACACCAATTTAATTTGTTGTTTCTCGGATTTTTTTCAGAAAAAATATGAAGCGACAGGGCAAAAAAAAAAAAGGCCAAGGCACCCCATGATAGCCGGAAATGTTACAATATGAGCCATGAAGTGAACATACCAGCCTGGTTTATAATTAAAACAATAGATTTTGAAATTTTAAGGAAACAAAATTGCATTGTTACATTGAAAAACTTTAAGAACTAGGAAGAAAAGGACTTTCTTCAACCGTTGTGGCCAAAATATGTCTTTCATTGAGCATTTTGCAGTTAATTTAGAACCAAATTTTTTTTTTTTTTTGCAAATCAGAAAAAATAGACAGGGCGATCCGAGAAGCAACAAATTAAATTGGTGTGGCCTAAGATAAGAAAGTCACAGTAACTCTAAAAGTGGCAATGCAACACCAACTTGGATCACACCAAACGACTCAAAGATGCTGGTTCAAAAACAAAGTTATGGCAGAAAGTTATGATCTAATACATATCATATTTAATACCATATGAAGTTAGCCAGATTTTAAAAACTGTTCCTCGTCAATAGAACATAAAGGTTTTCATATATTTGAAAAATTTAGCTGTACAAAATTGAAGCACCAGCATTTTATTGTAGCATCTAGTCCACTGACGGCCTAGAACACTGAGTATACATAAGACTCAATCTAAAAAAACCCAAGACATTGTTTTTATTCAATACTATATAATGATATGATTTGTAATGGAAATGACCTACAAAAACAAGTTTGCAACTAGAAATTAAATTGCTTGAGCTATCTCCTTTTCTTGAAATTTGTCGTATTATTATATATTATTATTATATTATGAACTTCAAAATGTTCAAAGTTCTATCTTAAGTCTATTTTATTAGAAAAATAAAAACTCACCAAAGTTTAAATTATTCCCGAAATGTTAAGTAGTACTTTACTTTCTAAAGGTATTTACTTGACTTTTTTTGGCCATTGTCTTTATTGCAACACTATAATACTTGTATTCAATAACTTAAAAAATTAAATGAAACAGCAGCAGCAAAAATCTAAAAATCCATTTCAAATGTACAAATAATCATCATAATAGTGGTTAAGTTGAGTGAAGAAGAAAATCTAATTCTGAATATTTGGTACTTTGTATATTTGAGTATTTTTAGGTGAACATGCTGACATGTTGGTGTCCCTATTTGCATTCCTATCAGATCCTATAAGGCCATGTTGATTTGATTATATGGATGACATCCTCCGGGAGCCCCAAAACTGATGCGCGCGTGCAAATAAAAAAAAGTTTTGCAAAAAAAAAAGTTGTTTTCATTATGAAATGTACGTGGTTTTGAAGGTTTAACAAATGGCACAGAATATGGTTTGGCGAATAATCTAGTCTTCAAGTTCATTTCTTTACAAATTCGTCTTTTTTCGTTTAATTTTGGCATTCTACGACATTGGTATGGTTTTTAATTTTTTTTGCATATTTTTGGCCATTTTGCAACTGTTTTGTACGATTTACAGTATGGTTGAAAACCTTTTTTTTTTTTGGAAACGGCCGAAAATTCATGCGTGCGCGGATGTCATCCATATAATCAAATCAACATGGCCTTACCCTCTGAAATAACCACTCTTCATCGTCCATTGCTTAAAGAAAAGAACACCAGAAGATTAAGAATGCTTAACGATAAACTTTGCAGATGAAACACCAAAATGCTGTGTACAGTTGAGCTATTGGAACTTGCAAATAAGGACACACATACATCCATGAAGGTTAGACATCCAGGTAATACGATACACCAAAAAGCAGTTACTCAAGCAACTGGATATGATTTTGGAAATGGTATGGCAGTCATGACCTGTCAGCTTTACTGACATGGAAAGGAAGGGAAAATGTGAGCTAATTATGTTTACCGAAGGAAAACATGTTGTTTTTACTACGTTTCTTCTTCTGTTCCAAACACTGACCCCTGACTTGCCCAATGATTTGTTGATGTCTGTCACCATGGTAACTGGTGTTGGGTTACATAATGTTGCAATTTAGTAGGAGGAATTTAGACTCCTGTCAGGCCATATACATAATATATGAATGTATTTGAGTAAGAATTAACAGAGCAGACTATATGCGAAGATAAACATTACGCATTTGCTTTGCAAATGTTACCTTTCTAGTTCACCCTTTGTTTCAACAGCCATATGTCCCATTCTTTTTTATTCCAACACCTCCCAAGTTGAACATAGGTTAAGTTGTTGGAACACACATACATGTATAGTGCTGCATACCTAAACCCAATCTTAGGTTCAGGTCCGGATTCAAGTCCAGATCAGAGGTTTAGGTTCAGTTCCGGACTTGTAAGTCCGGATCTAAACCCATGGCATATACAAAATTGCATGTTGGCAACCTTGCAATGTTGTTTGGGCAAAACTTTGACCACATAACATGGACGCCAATACTTGACGATGCCCGACGGCAATGTTTTCTTCATTTCGCAGCAAAGATTTTGCAATCTACGGAAGGTTTTAGGTGGTTTGGAAATAAAAGGGGCATGTGAAATTTTTTTTGTAATAAGTCCGGACTCGGTTCTTGACTTTTAGGTTTTTTTGGACTTGAACCTAAACATTCTTACAAGTACGGATCCAAGTCCAGTAAACCAGTATGCAGCACTATACATGTACATGTAGGGGTGTAAGTTGTAAGTTATAACTAATGCACTTGTGGACAGTTGACGTGCAGAAAAATTAGACGGTATCATTTTATCTACAAGTGAAGCGTCTGTTATACAGCTTGAGAATTATTTGTGTGATTGTTGGCAACGACTAGGAGAGGTTTTCTGGCAACAAAATAAACGCAGTCGTATTCGTACTGCAGCATGGATCTAGTGTTCTGTATGTACATGGTCGGCCTTTTGGTGTCTTCTTTCTGTAAGGAGATCAAGTAACAATAGTATGCATGATAGGATACACAAATGTACACTAACATTAACACTAACACACGCACACACAAATACACACACACACACACACAAATATACACACACACATGCTAACACTTACACACACACACACACAAAGTCACACAAATACACACACATGCTAACACTAACACACACACACACACAAACACACACACACACACTAACAGACACACACACTAACACACACACACACACTAACACGCACACACACAAACACACTAACACACACACACACTAACACACACACTATCAAGTACACACACACACACACACTAACACACAAATACACACACTTTCAAACACACACACACACATGCTAACACTAACACACAAACACACACTAATACTAACAAACACACACACACACACACACATCATGCACTAGATATGCAATGTACACACACATACACACATGCGCTTACATGATTGTACATTCAGATATTGCACATTTACACAGACACACGAAGACACACACACACACACAGTTCACACACACACATATAGTTCTCACACACACACACAGTTCACACACACACACATAGTTCACACACACACACACAGAGTTCACACGCACACACACACACGCACACACGCACATGCACACACAGGCTTTACACACACACAAACAAATAGCATATAACTTTTATTAGAAGGGATAAAAAACCTTTAAAAAAATCATCACAATAACAAGGGAATAACAAATACTTTAACAATACCACCACACTTCCAACCAACTCACCAGTATTTCAAAGCCGAACTCCAGAATTACACTCCTCAGGTCTTCATAACTTAACTCTATAGATGCTTCATTTGCCATATCAGCAAAGTGGTACAACAACGGGCCTGGAAAGTAACAAGTCAACATAAAAGTCATGATCATAATTTCGTTGTAGAGGCTCATCAGTCACCTAAGATTAACAGCATGCCCATAGAACCCCCCACAAGGCTCAAAGGTCCACTTTTTGGTCCGCTTTTTATGTAAAGGTCCACTTTTTGGTCCACTTTTTATGTAAAGGTCCAAGATTTTTCTTGAAAAGATAGACTGGAATCGTAGAAAAACTGCTCCCTTTGTCATTGAATAAAAATTTATCTCTGATTTTTTCTTAGAAATCCTCTCAAAAATGCACGAAATGCCATTTTAGAAGGTTCATTTTTCCAAATTTTTTTGGGGAGCATGCCCCGGACCCCCCTAGGAACCTCACGCCTACAGCGCTCACTGGTCCCTCAAGCAGTGGGAAGAACCCCCCCATTCAAAATCCTGGCTAGGGGCATGAACAGTTAGGAGTATCTTCATCAATCAGTGATATCATGTTCTTTTATTGTCTTGAAAGGTAGCAAAAGGAGGTACGTGTTTGCTACCTTTCAAAACAGTGACTGTCGTGGGGTCGTGTGGCGTAGCGGCAGCGTTCTCGACTCAGAACCAGAGGCCCCGGGTTCGAGTCCTGACATGCCACCAATCTTGTGTCCTTGGGAAAGGCACTTTACACGACTTTCCTCACTTTGCTCAGGTGTAAATGAGTATTGTACTGTCCCTGTGTTGGTGGCATTAATATAAGTTGAAAAAAAAATTGAGTGTGCCGTCATCACGTCTTGTGATTGCATGTTTTCGGAATAAAAAAAAAACAAAACAGTGACTGATTGATGAATAATCTACCAACATAATTTCACAGTGTGCGAAGACCCTAATTTCTTACCAAAATTGACACTGTCTTACATGATAGAAAAGTACTTTTTTTTAAATCTCAAAATCAACGCATACATGTACATGCATATCCCTTATGTACCTAAGAATAAATCGGGTTCGAAGCAGACTGACATCATAAGTACATTGTCCCAGCGCTGTCCCAAAAATAAATTTCTATTGTCCCGCAGTGAGGATGAACTGTCCCAACCTGTTTTTTAACCTGTTTTTTAAAGTATTGTATGGCTTCAACTTGAAATCGACTTTATTTTGCTTACGTTCACTCCCAGGCGCACTGTAATTGCAGAGTAGACAAGAAATTCGGATCCAAAAGCCGGGACAAAAGGGCTGACATTCTGATGTTGATTATTTGTCTATTGTCCCAAAGTGTGTTTTTACTAATTTTAGTTGTCCCAACCTAAAGTTTACTGGTCAGTGGCCATTGGACCACCTTTAATATCAAGCCCTGAAGTACATTGTACATTTGTACCTGTACACTTTTACATAGATGTCCAAGGTAGTATTTTGAACCATGATCTTACCTAGGTTTATCCAGTATCCACCAGGCTTGAGAATGTTGTGTATTGTTTCAACATAAGACACGATGTTGTGGGCGGTGTCTATGAAATAACACGTTGCCACACAGTCCCACACTTCTGCAAGTACAAAACATTACATCAAGATTTAACAAAATACTGAGAACTACTCAACATTTTTCAAGGTCTTCATCATATAGTGGTGACAATTCCTAGTAGTATGGTAAGGCCACAGCAAGTAAATTTTATGGATGACATCCTCCGCAGACTCCAAATCTAATGCGAGCGGGCGAAAAAAAAAAAACAAGGCAGGCCAAAAAAAACAAGGTTCCTACATTTTAAAATTTTCACTCAATCATTGTACAAATGGTTTCGATTCAGTGGGAACATCACATATACACAGCCAGCATCACATATCACTGCATCAAAGGAAGAAACAAAACATAAAATAGAGCCTTTTCTTGTCTCCTCTCTTCATAGTTATCTGCCATCCACCTTCTGGCATGGCGATAGACATCTTGGCATGTTGACCACTGTCAAAAGGCAACAAAATTTCTTGTTTTTTTTCCAAAATCAGGCGAAAATTAATGCGCGTGCTGATGTCATCCATAAAAATTACTTGCTGTGGCCTAAGGGAAATAGATATGCATTATGGGATCCAAAGGTTCTTAGTTCAATTCTTGGGCAGACATTGTGTTTTTGGGAAAACCAAAGGTACTTGACTTTCCTCACCCCACTCAGGTTTTAAAATATATGTGTGACTTAGGTCAGGGAGATAAAAGGCTCCGTCTTCCAACACTGTACCCTAGATACAACTTGGATTACCTACAACCTACAACCTCAAACTTTATTTGAGATACATTGTATTTCCTTTTTACTATGTGTGTATCTGTATCTGTAAAGCCGGTATAACCGCCCTTCAGCGTAACACACCAGCTTCTGTAACTGTATAGCCAGTATAACTGCCTTTCAGCGTAACACATCAGCTTCGCAGGCACGCGGTGCGGCTGCAACTGGCTACATTACACTGATCGACTTGTTACACTTAACCATTGAAAATCTAATTCTAGACATTGTTTAAAGCTATCTAATGATAATGCCCCTACTATACTGACAGCGAGTTCCACTCTGTGATACTTCTAGGAAAGAATGAATTCTTGAACACCTCAATCCTTGGTTGATAACTCTGGTACTTGAAGGCATTGCTATTTCTTGTTGTCTTCTGGGCTGGTATTAGATACTTAGTAGTCGGGTAATTTTGGGTCAGTTATTTACAGTGTCTCTGGAGTCTGGAAACAAAGCAAAATTTACCATGTTCCTTGTATTAATCATTCAAACTTACAAAAACTGAAACAAAACTTACCCTGTTCCCTGTAGACCTCCAGGAAATCCCCAGCAGTCATTGAGAAGTTCCCACCCTGGGGTAGACTGTGGGGGTCGATATCGGGGATAGCGACCGGTCGGACCTGGTCACGCGATGACCGGTTGTTACAGAACTGGTGAATCCACGGGTGGAGGGTGATAGAGTTGGTGCCTTCACACCTGTGGGGTTAGACAGGTCGGCTGTCATACATAGACAATATTTGTGTCATCAGGGCAACATACAAATGATCTCTGACCTACCAGACTGAGGGTGATGGAGTTGGTGCCTTCACACCTGTGGGGTTAGACAAGTCGGCTGTCATACATAGACAATATTTGTGTCATCAGGGCAACATACAGATGATCTCTGACCTACCAGTGTGATGGAGTTGGTGGCTTCACACCTGTATAGTTAGACAGTTTGGCTATCATACATAGACAATATTTGTGTCATCAGGGCAACATACAGATGATCTATGACCTACCAGTGTGATGGAGTTGATACCTTCACACCTGTATAGTTAGACAGTTTGGCTGTCACACATAGACAATATTTGTGTCATCAGGGCAACATACAGATGATCTCTGACCTACCAGTGTGATGGAGTTGGTGGCTTCACAACTGTGGGGTTAGACAGGTCGGCTGTCATACATAGACAATATTTGTGTCATCAGGGCAACATAGAAATGATCTCTGACCTACCAGTGTGATGGAGTTGGTGCCTTCACACCTGTGGGGTTAGACAGTTCAGCTGTCATACATAGACAATATTTGTGTCATCAGGGCAACATACAGTTGACCTTTGACATACAAGTGTTTGGTTGGCTCAGACAGTTGAACTGTCCTTTATAGCCAATATTTGTGTCATCGGGCAACAAATAGTTGACACCTGACCTACAGGTGTACCTGACCTATGACCTATCAGGATGGTATAGAGCTTTGGCCTATAACCTACAATGTTTATTGGAATAATCTCTTAATATTCCTATTGATATATTTAAAAATGAAAATAGACTGGAGTACTGACTTGTTGAGGATGTAGTTGGAGGCAAACAGCATGAAGAAACTCCACTCATTGCCCTGACACTGGTAGCCTAACCTGGCCAGTTCCCAGGCTAACCTCCCTAGCCCTGCTCCAGGCACCAAGATGGACACCTCAAATGGATCACTGCAAAGTACACAACATACAGTTATCATCTGATAATGATGCCTAACCTGAACAGTTCCCAGGCTAGCCTCCTTAGCTCCAGGCACCTGGTGGAATTCTATCTAATAATAATAATAATAATAATAATAATAATAATAATAGTAATATGTCACACCCACCAAAGAAAAAGAAAACATATATTAATTTTTTTTATAAAAAGTTAGTAACAAGAGTGGTGTTTAAAAACACACCGGCGACGTATTTTAATAATAAAATTATTACCTTCGCCAAGAAGGTTATGTTTTCAGAGGCGTTCGTGTATGTGTGTGTGTGTCTGTAAACAAGATAACTTGAGAAGGCCTTGATGGATTGTCTTGATATTTGGTAGGTGGGTAGGTCTTGATGAGACCTCAAAATGATTAGATTTGGGGCCCCCTAGCGGCTTGTTATGGTACTGCAGCTAAACTTCCGGTTTTCATATCTCATGATCTAAACATGTTAGGGTGACGAAATTTAGATGGTAGGTAGCTCTTGTGCTGGGGAAGAAGTGACGTGAGTTTAGACCCCCTAGCGGCTTGCTCTGGAACTGCAGGGCTATATGTTTGAAAGTATTCAAAAGAGGATAACTCAAGAACCGGTTGATAGATAGTCGTTATTGTTGGTATGTAGGTAGCTTACGTGATGCTTGATATAATTATGTGATTTGCATGATTTATGGGGAAATTCTATAAATCAGCTGCATTCCATGATAGGACTATTGAAGCTCGTGAAATTGGTAATTGAGAACGAGAGAAACACAGGCAGATATTGATTATGTAAATGAATACCTAATTTGCATAATTAATTTTATAATTATGTAATGATAAGTGCCTGGAATTTCATACTTGTGGTATTTGAAAGATAAGTGAAGGTGAACACTTATCTTTATCTTATGAAAACATAATGTATTCAAATTAGGACCTCATTTGCATAATTTATTAGGAAATGCTAGAATGGCATTGTTTGTTAATATAAGACTGTACATTGCGAATATGATAAATTGATATCCATGAAAATGAGAATGGAAATGAGCACCCTATTTGTTAAATCAGGGAGAATAATCTATAATTTGTCAGTCATAAAGATTAACATCATTTGGCGAAGGTATGAGATCGGGGACCTCTAGTTATATTATAGTATAAATTTGTAACCCCTTTGATATACCTTGTTTAAAAGGAATTTTTCTTATAACGGATTGTTGTTTTAGTACTACTAGTATGTCAAAATGTGTGTGCTTTTAACACCGTATTGTATGTAGGAAGTTGTATTGTTTGTTTT